CAAATCAGACTTTAATGTTTTAAGTATGGCCAGGAGGTTTTGTTCTTTATCAAAATAGATGTTCTTTTCCATTGCTCTTTCTCCTTTTTTTTTTTTTTTGAGTATGTGAGCATTATCACTGGGTAATTTACAGCATCCTTTGGTGTTGATAGATGCATTCTTGGGTAGAATATTTTAAGTATTACCATTCTAAAGTTGAGCCAGAGAAATGCAGCACACATCTGAGAAACATGAGTCAATGGAAGGCTGCCAGCCAAAATTCTGGCAAATGAAATGACTCTTGGTTAAGAACATCAAGATATATACATTGTATAGTTGGTTTCCTAGACACTGAAGGTTAGGAAGACCTGCACAACAGATCCCAAAGGAGAACTGTAGACACAACAGACTGAGGAAGTTAATTTGCTTTAATTAAAGTCTAAACCATATGGTGGTAACCTGACAACAAAGTGCAATATTTGGTATGACCTTTAAGAAAGAGGAAATGGAATTATGAGTTTCATAATCTGCATTCAAGTATGCTTGATAGATGAGATTGAATGTTACACAACAAAATAATTTTGTTGAGAAATGGTACACTAGTCAAAATTCAGCTCATTTATTCATTCCCTCAATGTGAAGCCCCAAGAATTGCTGAAGTAGTCAATTTTCATTCTTATTTTACCACGGAAATCATCGCCGTCATCATCTTCTTCTTCTTGAAGATTTTGTTTGTGTGTGCACACACATGTAGTGATCAAATGTCAACTTTCATGAGTTGGTTCTTTCCTTCTACTACGTGGTTTCTGGGGCTCAAATTTATGTCCATAGGCTTGCTAGACAGGTGCGTTCAGCCACAGAACCATCTCACCCATCCTCCTCCTCCTCCTCCTCCTCCTTCTTCTTCTTCTTTTTTTGTGATATTGTAATTGAACCTAGTATCACAACCAGACCCCACACAAGCATTTTGTCTCCCAGCCCTCCTTGCTTTTTTAAACAGAATATTTTAATAACCCTATATTATTCAAAACAAATGTCAAGAAAACCTGCTCTTAATTTATCTTTTAGTTTTAATTTTTACATATGCTCCCTAAATAAAGCATTCCATGATTAATTAAGCATTATGCACATGATCAGATAAGACATAATTGAAGGGACCCATGTACTGTGGGGTGCTCCCTTCTGGACCCGGGACTGGGAACAGACCATACCCAAACACCAATTTCTAAGCACAAACCAAATACGAAGAGATCCTCTATTAAGCAAGGAAAAGAGACAAGGTGGCTGAATCAGAATTGGGCAGAAACAGTAGCAAATAGATTTGCAAAGTGTTAATTTTATAGGGAAAAGTGGGAGGTCTGTGTAAGAATGAGCTAGGATGTCTTGGTAAGTTCTGATTGGGTATTTTAATGAGGTTAGCCAAAATAATTAATTTTGATTGCTGGACCTTGGTGATCAGTCTCAGGAATGAGTCAGGCATAACAAAGTGGCCAAAAAAGGGATCTTGGTGGCTAGCTTTAGGAATATAATGTAACGGTTTAGCAAGGGAGGGGGAAGGGAAAGGGCACCCCCCCTGCCATGTTTGCCAGGCTTGGGCATGCTAGAGCCCTTCAATAATTATTGTAAATAACAATGGATTATGTACATCAAAATCATTGTCAAACATGCTGTGACAGATGATTGAAAGAATTGATTCAGGAGTAAGTACAAGATTATGAGGATGTGGGATCTCTTATGATTTGAGTGTAACCGAACAAGCTCCATTGTGAAGATACCATCTTCTCACACTTGTACCCATGGAACCAGCCAGCTCTGCACACAGCATTGGGTCAGCAGCTTATGCATAATATTATCTGGACCCTGCTTTGTTTATGTTATCTTTGGAAAAGGTGGTCTAACACATACGAAAAACAAAAGGCCAGCATAGGCAAATATTGGACTGTATTCTAAGTTACATAAACAACATCTGAAGAATTCAGGGGAGGGAAAGCATAGTGTATTGTTTGATATACTTTGGTCACAGGAAAGCATGTAAGAGCTGTAAAAAATAAACTAAGATTTCAAGGGGGTACATTCGACTTTGGTTCAGCAATATTCTCCTCTCTTTGCTCAAATCCTTTTAGTATCTTGGTGATGATTTTAGATATGATACAAGTAAAGGACCCCTGATCTGAAATCTAAAATTCAAAATGTTCCTAAACTTGAAACTTTCTGGGTACCAAAGTGATGATCCCAGTGGAAAAATCGTACATCATGAAACTTTGTTTTGTGTACAAAATTACTGAAAATATTACATAGAATATCCTTGAGGCTATGGGTATATAAAAATTGAGAAGATGGCATCTTCACAATGGAGCTTGTTCAGTTACACTCAAACCATGAGAGATCCAACTTCCTCATAATCTTGCACATATAAAAAAAAGTTTTAGACTTGGGTTCCATTCCCTAGTTGCCTCAGTATGTATATGCAAATATTTCAGGGTGACAAGACTCTGAAGTCTGAAGTCCTTCTGGTCACTAACATTTTAGATAACGAACACTCAGAATGTGTGCATGTAATTTAGTCTGTGCCTAAAAGCACTCCTGACACACTGTATTGTCACTCTCATTTTTGATTAATAGAACAAAATAACTGTTTCACCTAAAAACTAGCATGTGATTTCATTATTGATGAAAACAGAAGGCAGAAAAGTCATTAAGTTAGTACCAACACTTGTGTCCTTTCATGCCTCTGAAAATGATCTATGCCAGCAGGTTCCCGTATCTGGTACACCACATAAGAAAAATGGGTGCAAACTTCAAGCTCTATGGGTTTATCAAATCCTCTAGTTACTTATACAATCAACATAATATTCATTGTGTAACATGCAGCAAATAAAAATAAATGTAAAATTGGAACAAAAATGCAAAAAGCACCAGTAATTTCAACTCCAAGATATAAAGCAAACATATGGGAAATCATGTAGATGTGTAAGTATAATGCAATTCATATTTATTCATAAATGAACCTGTGTTTACATATATATATATATATGATCAAATAAACTTAAAAACTAATATATGCTTACATTTGGCTTACAAATATATGTTTTTATTACATTGGGCTTATAACATTAACACTATATTGAAACCTGAACATTTTTGTACAATTGCATTAGTGTATTTGAGTATATCTCCAATTTTTATTCATTATCTATTTTAACCATCCTGCCATTATTGGACTTTCAGACTGAGTGTCATATAGACAGACTCTCATTACGTAGTATAAACTGGCTTTGAACACATGATTGTTCTGCCTCAGCTATTTTTCTTTTTAACTTTTTATTGATTCTTTGTGGATTTCACATCCTGCATCCCGATCCAATTCATCTCCCCATGCCTTCGTATCCACTCTCTGCCCTTGCAACCTCTCCTCAAAATAAAATAAAATCTAAAAGAAAAACCCCAAACCCAAACCCAAACAAACAAAAAGCAAACAAAAACCAAACCAAAATCAAACCAAACAAACACTTGTAAGTGTTCATTGCAATGAGTCATGGGTCTAGTTGGAGGCTTCTGGCTTCTGCTACACTACCTGCACCCTCGCTGGGACTCCTCTTGGATATCCTGTTGTTGCCTTGTGTCATGGAGATCCTGTGGCTTTGGATCTGCAGGTCCCCCCCCTTCACATGCTCCAGCCATTCATAGATGAGGTGGGTGCTGGGGTGAGCTACCTTGCAGTCCTGGTTCTGGGCCTGGGTGGTAGCTGGGTTGGTCAGCCTGCCAGCTTTCCCTCATTGTCACCACCCCAGCAAGCTCTCCAGCACTGCCGGGGCTAGCTCACCCAATGCAGCAGGCAGCAAGGAGGGGGGACAGTTAGTTCTCCCGCTCTCATTCTCATACCCTCGCGCCTGGCTCACCTGCACCCATACTGCCAGGGCCAGCTCTACTGTTTTGTCCAGGTGAGTGCTGCAGCTGGTGAAGGGCAGGACCTGCTTTTCCCCTCTCACGCCTCTGAGGCCAGCTCTCCAGCCTGCACAGGTGGCAAGGGGCCGGGGGAGGGGCACCTTGCCTCTACCCATGCCACCAAATGGCATACAGGGGAGGGGGCAGTGTCAGCTCTCCTGCTCTCACACCCTCAGGGCCTGCTCATCTGCATCCCCCGCCAATAGGGTCAGCTGTAGTATGCTGCCCACTGCCTTGGTTTCTTAATATTATGGTGTAGAAGGATCCGTTTCCAGCTCCTTCTTGTACACACTTGTTTTTAAAAAGTCCAGCAATCAAATCATAACTGAGTGCTTAAAATTAAGATCATTCAACATAAAAAAGGATTTTTTTAAAACTGTATTTTGTCATCACTAACTGATTGTATTGCTTGGTGTAATCAGTCTGAAGTCAGGCAGCGTGACGGTGACCCAGTCCTTCCCATGCTATAGTTAAATTTCCTCTCAACAGTGTTTTATAGCAAAAAGGTTGCAAGTGTTATGTTTTGAGTCAGAATATTTTATTTTCAGCTTGATGATGAAAGGAGGCATTTAAAACATGTTTCATTTCTTTAGAGGAACCTTGTGAGGAAAACCTTTGGACGTCAACGCTGCTATTCTGTCTTGGACACTAGCATGGAGTCATAGAATCACTCACTTGCAAGAAACCCCTGACATTTCCCTGGCTCTGGGGACTGAGACTAGGGCCTTGCTCACACTAGGCAAGTGCTTTACCACTGATTAATAGTCCTAGCCCTGTTTTTGCTTTTTTTTTTCTTTTTTGAGCTTAAGTCTTTTTATTCCAAAAATGCAATTAATGTAGTGAAGGAATATGTCTAAATTCAGGAAGCTCTACAATTTAGTCGTCTTGACTTTTGCTTTTAATTTCCAAAGAATTATTTACTATGTATATCCAATAATTTTTTTGAGTATCGCAAAAGTTTATCAGAAAGTTTCATAGGAAAATGTACATGAGCCAATTCTACACCCCAGTCAAAGAGGCCCTTTGGGGAGGCATGTGGACTCCTCTGCTGAACAGCCCTTGTGAACAGCCATTGTTTAGACTTTTTCCAAGGCTTCTAACATGATGCTGCTGTTTCCTTGTATGGCCACCGTTCCGATGCTATTCTGTTGCCTACTATTTGCCATCTCCACACACTCATCAATCACAAAATTCATAAAGGGATCAGAGCCCCGTAGTCTTCCATTTAACTTCAACGATAACTTTTTGTCCATAAATTTCTTCAGTTCGGGAGGATGGGCCTTGCTCATGGCAACCCCTGCAGCAGGCTTGGCACGATGGCAAAGGAGTGGCTGGCCACATATCTAGTGATTTAATATATAACTTAAATATGAAAACAACTGTTTCTTTTACTTGTGAAGAAAGTATATCTTTCTTATGGAGTCATAAAATCAAATAGCCAATGTTTCCAGCAGACTGTCAGTCTCACTCGAGGAAACATTGCTGGGGGTAATGTTTAGAATCTCTGAAGTAGTTTAAATAAAGTGAGCTGCAGAGTGAACTCATCTCAGAAATCCATGAAGTATGTGTCAGTATAGGTCCGGGTCAAAAGAGCCTTTGCAAGGCCGAAGGAATTACAGCATTGTGTGCAGATGGCCAGAGCCTCTGTACTGAGAACTAGGATGTACTGTAGAGGACAGAATTGAGACCTGTGGAAAAACCTGGTCTGAGGAGATTTACTGACAGAAAAAAAAAGGGTTGAAGAAGAGGGATCAACGATAAGCATGGGAATCTTTGTCTCAATTTTGAGGTAGAAAACAATCTCAGAATTACTGCTCCCATCCCAGAAATAGGGTGGATTGTTTCATTTCTGTATTCCTGCTTCACTTGAGAATTTAATTCCAAAGCTTAATTTTAAGTATTGATATTCTAAGCTTTGTTGGATCACCAATCTGGAAATGTTTAGACAGGGTGCCAAATAAATTCTCGTGGAGAGACATCGTGTCATGATTATGTTGTAAGTAGTCTCCTTAATTAAGGAAAGTTAATAAGGTGAAGTGATCGCTCTCAGGGATTGGTGTTTCCAGATAATCTTTAAAATACCTCATTCAGCAAATAGACTTCATAATATGAACTTCCTTGTAATTATATCCCCACAAACCCTCCCTTATACCACTTTTTGCTCTTGTTCAAATTAATGGCCTCTTTTTCATTGTGATATGCATATATGTATGTATACACATATGTATTCCTAAATAAAACCTGCTCAGTCTGAATAATGCTACTTGTGTATATCACCTTACAGAAAAACTAACTTCAAATGGATGAGAGACCCAATCATGACAGCCGAAACACAGAAACTACTAGAAAGAAGAAAACATAGGCAGTACCCCATATTGGGTATAGGGAGGGACTTTCTGAATAGGACTTCATTTTCCCAAGAATTAAGGCCAACAATTGACAACTGACAAGTGGAACTTCATAAAACTAAAAAGATTGTGGACAGATAAAGAAACAATTGACTGGGTGAAAAGAAACCCAGAGAATGAAAGAGAACCCTTGTCAGTTCTACATGTGACAGAGGATTAAGACACAGAATACATAAAGAACTCAAAAAACAAAGAATGAAAAAACAAAACTGCAAATAACCCACTTGAAAATAGGACCCAAATAGAGAGTTCTCAAAAGAAGAAAAAAACAGCTAACAAATATCACAAAACTTTTCACTGTTACTAGTAATCAGGGAAATGCAAATCAAAACAACTTTGAGATTTCATTTTACCCCAGTTAGAATAGCCAAGATTAACAATTCACAACAAATGCTGAGGGGATGCAGTGAAGAAGAAATCCGTATTCAGTGTCCTGAGCCGTTAAACTGGTGCAGCCACTATGAAAATAAGTGTAGAGAATCTTCAAAAAGCTAAAAACAAATCCCCCATATGACCCAGCTATCCTGTTCCTTGGCATATGGCAAGGCTGACATCCTACTTCAGAGATACACCCAGTCACGTTCATTGATGCTCTATTCACAATAGCTAGGACATGGAAACAACCTAAATGTCCTTCATCCAATAAATGGATAATGAAATGTGTTACACATACACTAGGGAAAATTATTCAGCTGTAAAGAAAAAAATGAAACCATGAACTCTGTAGGTAAACAGATGGAACTAGAAAAGATCGTATTAAGTGAGGTAATTCAGATCTAGAAAGACAAATGTCCCATGTTCTCTCTCATTGGAGGCACTTAGCTCCAAGTCTTCAGATGTGAATACATATCCTGGAGTAACTACCGAAATCAGACAAGGGAAAAGGGACCATACCAGATTAGGGGAATTGGGAAGCAATAGAGATGGGAATGGCAGGGTACAAGTGATCTGACTGGGAACATTGGAAAGAGAAAATATTTTTTTTCCCTTTTTAAAAATTTTATAATTGATTTAACTTTTCATATCAGCCATGGAGAAAATCTTTAGGGAGGGGAGAAGGAGGTTAATACAGAAGAAGGAGGGAGGAGTATAAAATGACAGTTAGAAATCATACTAGTAACTGTTTATCTACAAAAACCTATAATACACACAATTCTGTGTATAAATATAGTTTGAATGAACTTTTCTCATCTGGGCTGAAAATTCTCCCTCCAAAAGCAAAAGACTGCTTAGCAACTCCCCCCCAATACTTCTTTTTAGTTGACACCCTTTGGATTTCTGTGAGTACTTTTTTTTCTTGTAGGATTTATTAATATTTTATTTTTGTCTCTAAATTCAATTTGTTCAATGACTTGTGGGGACAAAAATGACTTTAAATTTTCCCTCTGGTAAGAAATAGGCAGTTTTGAAACAAATAGAATAACATGATATCTTATTTACATGCATGTAGTCAGCTCATGGAATTTACAGTTCAAAAGGTAGTACAGACAGAATGAATTCTGCAGGGTAGACAATAAGATGTGTTTAGAAAGGGGTTGGGGCCATTCCAACTATATGTTTGGCTCTGGGATTAGAAATCATGAAAATAAGTAGATCTTTCTTTCCCAAGTGTCTTTCTTTGCTCAAGTTAACAAACAGGAACAGGCTGAAAGGGCCAATGATTTTACTCTATAGAAATTTATGATGCTGCTACACAGCTTCCAGATCTGGGAAGACTCTCAGAGTAACAGAATACAGGTTCCTCTGATGCTCTTACCCCTCTAGTTATGCATTGTATTAACACATTTCACACAAAACTTGCTATTTTAGCCAACTTTCACTTCTCTTATTCTTTAGAATATCAGCTAGGATATATATCACTGAAGTGGTGTAATCTTTTGCTTAGATGTTTCTAGTTATAGAGAAATCACTGACTCATGTTTGAGTCTGACCATCTGCAGTAGATAGAAAATTCTTCAGTGTTTCTCTTAAAAGTGTGATGTTCTATAACTTCCACATCTTGATTCTGTGTGGCACTCTGTGCCACAGACTGGCCCATCGGGGGTACCATGACCATAGGGGAACCAGAGCTTGGGTAGTCAGGAAGGCAAGGATTCGGCAAATGACAGACAGACAACACACTCAGAAATAGTTTGAATCTGCTGCAATTTTACTTCTGCAAATCAGTAGTTTATATACAGAAAAGAAAACTATCAAGTCATACAAGGAGCAACAAGAGCTTGGCAATAATTCAATTACATGATCTTTAAAAACAGTAAGCATATAATTATTAATCGGCGCTAGACTTATCCCTTCATTCACAAGAACTTTATGACCCAAAGAGCAGTCTGTGGTTTTTAAACTTAGTACAGTCCCTAGACTTGTGTAGGCTTCTTTGCGGTTGCGGCTGTATCCTTCATCTTTATCTCAGCCGCTCGCTAGTTTATTCTGCACTTTTACTTTTTTGGTTCTCATGACCCATTTAGCCAATTTGGATGCTGCAGATCCTCTCTAAGTCTTTCTTCAGTTCTTTACCATATATCTCTCCTAATATAAAATCTTTTTACCTGCTGGAATATGGACTCTTGTACTTTTATACCTGTAAGGGGAAGGGATTCTGCTATAGTCCTTAAGTTTTCCATGCTGAACTTCCTCAACAGAGGGGCTCACCATCTGCCTCCTATGAGATAATGTTTTCTGCCATAAATCACTTTAGTTGGGATTCCTAAAGGATTCCTAGTGGGTGAGTGTTCATTCCCTAGAAGTGCCTGAACTATTATACTTTCTACTATCTAGTGGCTTGAAGTCTTTAAGGAA